ATGTGTCAAGGGGCAAAACAAACAATTTGCAGTAAACCTCATGGATGGACAGGTATGGATCACTTTATGTGTCAAGGGGCAAAACAAATAATTTGCAGTAAACCTCATGGATGGACAGGTATGGATCACTTTATGTGTCAAGGGGCAAAACAAATAATTTGTAGTAAACCTCGTGGATGGACAGGTATGTATCACTTTGTGTGTCAAAGAACAAAATAACCAATTTGTAGTAAACCTCATGGATGAACAGGTATGGATCATTTTTTGTGTCAAAGGGCAAAAGAACCAATTTGTAGTAAACCTCATGAATGGACAGGTATGGGTCATTTTATGTGCCCAGAGGAAAATGATAAATTTGATAGTTGGAGAAAATATTATATAGGCATAAAACAACTTATCAAAATCAAGGAATTATCTTATACATAATTTTTCTTTAAATACGAAGCAAACACATACAGTACAAAATCAAAGTTATACTTCTGATATAGTCATGCTGAAGACAATATCAGAAACATAACATTAAATGAGATACAGTGAGGGTCAGGATGATTTGCCCTTCTGAATAAGAGAAGAATGTTCCACTAAAGTTTGACAAGAAGTTCAGTAACAAAAAGAATGGAAAGCACACACAACTCTCAGCTGATGAAAGCATCATTGACTTTAGAGCTGAAAATGAAACAAACTCCTGAAGAAACCACTGAAGTAGTAAGTAATCTAGGTCCAAAGCAATGTTCAACTAAACTTGGACATAAGTTGAGAAACAGAAAGAAAAGAAACACATATAACTATCAGTTAATGTGAAGGAAAGAAACTCCTGAAGAAACCACCCAGGTGGCACACAGTCTAGCTCCAAAGCAATGTTCAACTAAACTTGGACATAAGTTGAGAAACATAAAGAAAAGAAACACATATAACTATCAGTTATTGTGAAGGAAAGAAACTCCTGAAGAAACCACCCAGGTGGCACACAGTCTAGCTCCAAAGCAATGTTCAACTAAACTTGGACATAAGTTGAGAAATAGAAAGAAAAGAAACACATATAACTATAGGTTATTGTGAAGGAATGAAACTCCTGAAGAAACCACCCAGGTGGCATACAGACTAGCTCCAAAGCAATGTTCAACTAAACTTGGACATAAGTTGAGAAACAGAAAGAAAAGAAACACATATAACTCTCAGTTAATGTGAAGGAAAGTAACTTGAAAAAACCACCCAGGTGGCACACAGTCTGGTAGTCAAAAAAAAGAAACTGGAAAAAAAAAACTTTCAGAAGGAGCTTTACAAAACTTAATGACTTGGTCTAAAGACTAAAAATTGCCTATATTAAATGAAAAGAGGAACAAAAGGATTCTGACCTTCTTACAAATGTATCCAAAATACCCAAACCAAAAATTATAAGGAAGTGAGACTTCCAGGCTAAACTCTTTGGCAATACTGAAGTTTAAAGAGGTGAAGATTATTTCTTGTATGTGAAACACTGCAGAAAAAATTAGAATAATTGTCATCTCAATTGTTTTTACTCACACACAGTTGGCTTTTTTGTTGTTGTCTAAAAGATTCTGTGGCAATATGATCATCTGTGAAAAGCTGTTCACCTGAGTACAAGCTTTATAAACTATGAAATGAATGATCTTTTCAATTGAGAGATTAGGAGATAGGTGAATTATGGACACAATAAAGTGAAAGAGCAAAGTAAGACATCAGGAAGGGTTAAGATGATGTGGTCAACAATCATAAGATAAATTAACCAAACTTCATCTACAGGTGTGTAAGAATGTTATGTTTTAAATTAACATCATACATGGAGTAGTAAACCTGATGATCCTTATAAGGCTTACCTCAGCACTGTCAAAAAGGCCTGCTTCGACCAACCAAATACAGATCATCGTTCCTGTTCTACCTTTTCCACCTTTGCAGTGAACAGCTATAACATTCTCTTTGTCCTCACTCAGCCAGCTTCGCACACTTTTTACGTACCTTGTCATGTCTCTGTAACGACAATATCTACTGTTAAAACGTACAAGTTATCCTTTACTTAGCAATGAATAAATAAACAAGTTTGTGAAACATGTTCCATACTTTCTAGATTTGTGTTATAGGAAATTCTGTATAATTTTCACATATTTTACATCTATACAGTGTTGAAAAATGTGAACTACACAGTAAACAAATATTCAATTTAGAGCATGAATAACAAGAATGAAACTATATATATATAAAATTCAGATGAAAATTCAAAAGTATATTATACATTAAACACTGAACCAAGTTAATGAAATATACAAATACCTCAGTAAAGGTACATTGTGATCATCGATGATGATTCTCTCCACACGACCATGAAAGTATGTATCATCATATGTTCTTTCACCTAAAGGAAAAAATTTTCAACAATTTGTATATTGGAAAATTTCACATTAAGGCTACAGTTAACTTTCTCCATTCTTTATTACACTTTTACTAAACCTTTACGCTTTTCCACAAAAAACAAAACAGAACTGTTTAAAAGTCTTTTATTTTCTTACAAAACATTTTATGCTTTAAATTTTATCAATCTAATTATGAAAAACTTAAGCTTCTATTTACATAAAAATAATGAAGCCTACAGAGTAGAAAAAGATTGTCCTACTAATAATGTTTTTTTACACATTAGACAAAGACACCACAATTTCTAATTCTGTCAAAAAGGATTTTGAACTACAGTGTAAGGAAAGAATATTTACTGACACTATCTGAGGTCAAACATCCTGACATGGCAGAAGATAAGTCCAGCACAGTTTGAAAAAAAAAACACCCTTACTGTGTCAAAAAAGAATCACAACACTATAAACAATGAAACTCCCACATTTTCAAAATGAAATTTCATCACATTAACTGAAGAGAGAAAGGTACCTTTCATAGTTCAAGTAGGTAACTCTAACCACAATGCCAGTCTTCTGGATACTTTAAATACATACTCTGGATACATACTATCACTAGAAGAGGTAGTTTTTTCACATTCCAAAATTGTCAAAGAAAGTCCTCAGAATTAGGCAAAAAATTTATATTTTATTCAAATAGGAAAATGCGACTCTCCACCTTCATGAAAAAAAACTTCAGAGAACAAGAAGTTTCTCCAAACTGCTGGACAAAAAAAAAAAATCCAAATAATACTTCCCTACACTACAAGATTTATAGCTTCGTTGCACCTGTTATGTGACTAGAGGAAAATAGCTAAACTTCCAAAACTGTACAGAAATAAAGTACTTTTCACAGAGGAAGAAAACCTACATTTTTAGTTCTAAAACAGAATTCAAATAATTTCTTATCTATAAATAATTGACTTGTTAACAAACAGAAGATACTCTGAATAATACTGAAAAATAGGCTAAGGACAATACAGAATACTATAAAAACACAAGAACACACTAAATATACGCAAACACCATACAGACATGAACAAGAAACTCTGGATAATACATAAAACTATACAAACAAGAACAAGTAACAATACTTTAAATAATGCCAAAACTATTAGATCGTCAAGAAATTAATGTGATTTTTTTTTAGATGAAACAACCCGAACAACTTATACATCAAAACAAAATATTTATTAAATGAAATAGTCTCTATTGTTATCAATGATACTTTCCATCTTACAATCGGTTGTTAATGCCCTGATTAAAGAAATCACTTGGCTTTGAAGCAAAAAGCATGTTGATGTCCTCTTTAACACCTTCCACATTTACATATGTTTTCCTATTAAGATGGTGTTGCAGCGAACGAAAAAGATGGTAATCTGATG